TTCAATTTCTGTACCTGTTAAGACAGGAAGGGCACAGGTAAATATGTTTTTTATTATGGGTTTATGTGGGGATTGTTTGAAGTTCACTTAATTTAAAAGCTGTTATATATTTTTTTTAAGCCTAATAATTTTTTAAAAAGTTGATGGCTTTCAATTGATGGAATCACTGTAATGTTGGTTTGGTTGATGGTTTATTGATCATTATAGGTGTTATCAATCATTTATTGTTGTTGTTGTTTTTAGTTTGAGTTGAGAAATAAACATTAATCTGTGTGTGCATTTTACTTTAGAACCAAGCAAGTTGGACTCATGAAACCATTTTATTATATCGGAGTCGCAAATCGCAATTGCAATATTGGCTCAATAATGGCAATATGACATTTTCCCAAATCGTGCAGCCCTACTAAGCATAGATTATAGATACCATCCCTTCGCTATGTTCTTTTCAATGTGAAGCGTTGCGTGCTGTGACTTGGTGTTGCTTCAAGTGCATCATTCTGCACACGGGATGCGCATGATTGCTTATAATACTTTGGGGAGACAAGGGGGCGTGGCCTAAGGGAATATCACTCATGATGTTAAGTGATGTTACCCCGCCATCGCTGATACAACCTTTAGCAGTCATGTTTTTGCTTCTTGAGAGAGAGAAAGTGTGTGTGTGTGTGTGTGAGCAGTGGCGGTTCTAGGCGGGGGCCTGGGGGGCCAGTGCCCCTGCGACAACAAGCTTGGACCCCCTTGTGGGCCCCCTAAATGTGGAGTCAGTGTGAAATATTTTTTTTATAGTGTGTCACGCATTGAGCATGACAGTCACTCGTTTCAGTCTTTTGTCTCACACTCCCGTCACACATTGTATTTCTCATGTGGAAAAACTATTAATAATATATTTAATATACGCAATTTCTCTGGCCGCGCTGCTCTCACGTGAGAATCAAGCGCGTCTCGCCTGGAGTTCAGCAGTCGACCCTGCTACGCATCAGCCAATCAAAAAAAGAGAAGTGCTACTTAATAGCCAATCAGAAAAGGGCACTATTGTATCTGGGTAAAATTTAACGCAACAACCAATGAAAAAAAGCATATCCTGGAATTGTTCATATGATTCTGTTACAACATCTTCCGAAAGTTTCTTCACCCGTCCCACAGATGAAACTAATCACTGGAGCTCCGAACATCACTTGGAGCACGGAGTAAGTCATGATCTCCTGTTTTAATGTTACAACAAATTCACAACTTGTTTGACAAAAACTATGACAACTTGACTGATGTAAGATGAATCTTTCCCGTAGCGTAAGCTAGCTTACGCAATGCTCGTTCCCTCATCTAGAGAGAACCGAGGTTACGTTAGGTAATCGATTCGTTTCCCATTTAATTAGTATCAGTCTGTAACTTAGACAACAGTTTTACAGCCTGTTCACTGACAACACCTGCTCAGAACAAGTAGTCTAGGCCTAGTCATCTTATTACACGAATCACGATGACTGACATATTGTCACATTATAAACATCTCTCTCTCCAAATAGGCTTAATAATTTTATTAGCACTAGATAAATTAAAGTGTAATGCATAGTTGATTTTAAAACATCTCTCTCTCCAAATAGGCTTAATAATTTTATTAGCACTAGATAAATTAAAGTGTATTGCATAGTCGATTTTATAGGTCACTTTTAAAATCATGTCATATTTTATAATTATATCCTGGCCAAGGATGCATTAATTATTGCTTCTGTCTTTCAAAGATGTCAGGAAAAAAACAATTATAAAAAAGCTCATTCACCCTGAGAGGAAAGCCCCCTAAAAAGGCCAGTTTAGAGGATAATTTGCTGATCTTTTTGCAAAAAAAAAAAAAAACCCACAAAAATCGTAGATTAATTTGTAAAAATGATATATATATATATATATATAGTATATATATATATATACATACTGTATATTGAATGTAAAAAAATAAAATGGAAATTCAAATACAGACTGATATATGTAATGCAAATGTAAAAATATAATGGAAATGCAAATTGTTGGATAATTATAAACATGGTATTTTGCTTATTTATGCCTTCAGTGCAGTGCAGAAAATGATATGGTCTAAATGTAACTGGCCCCTCTAACAGTACAACTGGCCCCAGCTTGGCCCCCCCAGTTGAAATGGTCTAGAACCGCCACTGTGTGTGAGAGAGAGAGAGAGAGAGAGAGAGAGAGAGAGAGAGAGGAGAAATGTAACAAAGTTTAATATTGTTTGTAAACTGTGTTTGAGAGAGAGGAAGGTGTTCAGAGAGTCTGTAGGATGTTAAGCTGTTATTTGTTTTATGGACTCAATGTTGAAAATTTAAAACATTTCAAACACACTGTTGGCAGAAGTGAAAAATAAATAATTTTATGAAGTTACAATTTTGTTTGATTCCATGGTGTATTTTACTGAACATGAGTATTTACAATGCAAATTATTGTAATTTACTGGCAAATACTTATCTTGTCTTTTCATTTTATGAAGATCAGATTCTGCATGTAAAATTAAAATAATAAGGTGACTTGACTTGCACTTGACTTAACCTACTACAAGACTTGACTTGACTTGACATAGCCTGTGACTTGACTTGACTTGCCCCTTGACTTGAATTATGGGTTTGAATAAATCTCCTAGGAGAAATACATCAAATTACAACGCATGTGTTTACCAATCACCACCATACTCGGTGTGCATGAAGTCAAGACATTGAGGATGCTCAATTCCGGACGGATGTTTGATTTCCCGAACGGTTTGGCCGTGGCGAGGAAATGAATTTTATGACTGAAAAAGGACACATAAAATGTGTTATAACTTTGCTCGTTTTACCTACAGTTACAAAACTTGCCAAGTATATTGTTCTTGTCAAGCCGATCAACTTTCTAATTAACAGTAAGAAGCTCAGACCAAAAGAAAGTCAGATATTGTAGTTTTGGATGTGTATCTTGTCTCTATCAGTGTCTGTGTGGGGAGGGGGGGGGTTGCTGGTGTCTTTGTGTGTGTGTGTGTGTGTGTGTGTGTGTGTGTGTGTGTGTGTACTTACAAATACGTCGGTGTGGGTCCCCATCGGTGGGAGCACACCCACCTAAGGAGTCCCAAAATCGGAGTGGGGCCCAAAATGGTGGACCCCACTCCGATTTCAATTTAAATAAGCTCAGCAGCTTCCCCTGATGCTCCCATTGCTTTTTTTTCCATCTCTAAAAAGTGGCCCATAAGGTAGCAAAAAGTGGGTAATTGTGTGTAGGTGTGTATCGTCGAGCTTTTTTTTCACCGGAAGTCAGGTTTACACTTCCCGCGAAATCGAATACACACCGCGGGAATCTGAAACCTTTAGCCAATGAAATTACAGCACTGTACAATCAGCCGCGATTCCCGCGAAAGTAAGGAAAACTGCGGAAATTGCACAAGTAACGTAGAAGAAGAAGACGACTTCAAGGATAGAAGATTGAAGACAGAAGAAGACGGGTTGGAAATCAGAACATTTTTACAAACACCGACCTCTGCATCCAATCAGGTAAGCTAGGCATGGTTTTCATGGTGAGTTTATTTCGGCGTTATAGTTTATCGTGATGTTTGTGGCTGCAATTTAGCTAATGTTAGCGGCATAATATTACTATTAGCAGTTAGCTTAACCTAATAACATGTCACCACGGACATTACAGCGGGGCAGAGACGGGGTGCAGTGAAGTGTCGTTAAAAGTAGAGTTGGTTGTGAATTGTGAGGTTTTTATGGTGAGTTCATATTTTGGCGTTACATCGTGATGTTTGCTACCTCGTTTAGCTGCCATGTAGCTAACTTTAGCGACATAATATTAGCTGTTGGCATAATCTAATAGCGTCACCACGGACATGACAGCGGGACAGAGACGGGGTGCAGTGAAATCGTGTCGTTAAAGGTAGAATCGGTTGTGAATTGTAAACAAGACAGGGCAGGACTCGCTAATGGAGGTTAGCCAGAAGCTAACGCAGGACTGAAGCTAATGTACGGTGCCGTTTTGGAATAACATCCTACCCGCAGGTGGTTCGTTAGAGCAGGACAGCTGAGAGAAAATAATATAATTTTTTTTCCAAATTTACTTTGCAAAAGTTTTAGATTGGTAAGATTTTTTATGTTTTTTAAAAGAAGTCTCTTCTGCTCACCAAGGCTGCTATTATTTGATAAAAAATAGTAATATTGTGAAATATTACAATTTAAAACAGCAGTTTTCTATGTGAATATATAGTCAAGTGTAATTTATTCCTGTGATCAAAGCTGAATTTACAGCATCATCAGCAACAGTTTTTTTTTTTTTACATTTTTATTTCAGGATTCTTTGATGAATAGAAAGTGTAAATGAACAGAATTGATCTGAAATGGAAAGCTTTTGTAACATTAATCACTACCATTCAAAAGTTTGGGGTCAGTAAGAATTTATTTTTTTATTTTTGGGGGAAAGAAATGAGAAAATACTTGTGTTCATCAAGCATGAGTTAAATTGATCAAATGTTACAGTAAAGACATTTATAATGTTAGAAAAGATTATATTTTAAATAAATGCTGTTCTTTTGAACGTTCTGTTCATCATAGAATTTTGGGGTGAAATGGTACACGACTGTTTTCAACGTTGAAAATAATAATTTGTTTTTTGAGCATAAAATCAGCATATTATAATGATTTCTGAAGGATCATGTGACACTGAAAACTGATGTGTAATCAGCAACAGTAATGATGTTGAAAATTCAGCTTTCAAATTACATTTTAAAATGTATAAAAATAGAAAACAGTCATTTTAAATTGTCATAATATTTCACAATATTACCGTTTGTTTTTTTACATTTTCATCAAATAAAGCAGCCTTGGTGAGCAGAAGAGACTTCATTTAAAAACATAAAAAATCTTACTGATCTAAAACTTTTGACTGGTAGACAGTGTATATATATATATATATATATATATATATATATTTCACCAAGCTTTTTGTCTGGGTGGTACCGGCCTACCCTGGACCCCGTTCCCCCCATAACCATCCATGCGCGTATGTATGAGGAAGGATGTGATGCTGTCAGTCAATGGTCATGTGGCAACGCCGCCATGCTGCTGTACCAGAAGTTAAGTTTGACAGCCCTAGTTTAAATTGATTACTGAGTGTCTGTGCAGCATAACATGGTTATCATCTAACAAGTTAACTTCTCAGTTTCAACAGGCTCGGTCAGCTTTCATTGTGCATATTTCAGAATTTGCATATTTCATTAGCCCGTGTTTGATGTTAAACAATATGCATCCTGCAATAGCAAAGCTACACAGCTGTTGCAATGTTTGTATGAATGTCTGTTTATTTATTTATTTTTCACAATAGAATACCTTTTTGTGAGATTTGCCTTAACTAACTACGAATTACAATTATTTTCACAGAGCCATTATGTCCATAAGGAGGAGGAGGAAAAAGCCTATAGACGATGCAAAGACATACATTCTGTCTTGCACTGACAAGGATGGGTTTATGTCGAGATTCATTGACCATTACAAAGGTAAGTTGCAGAAGATTCATTGACACAACTTGTGCATTTCAGAAGCAAAAAAAGTATTGTTGTTGATGATGTAATGACCAGGTACAGTTTTTGCCTTTGTCAAAGACAGACAGTGATCGAAGTGAGTGTGATAATTTACAGCCCAGGCAAGATTGTCAGAGTGCTTTGTCAGAATATTCTACTGAAGTGTCAGGATGATGCCTATTGCTGTGGTAGACTAGCTGCAGTTTAGAGTTTAAGGCAAATTTTCATCTTGATTGATCCCAAATGATAAAATGATTAGCGCAGACACCTAATGTTAAGCCAGTGGGAAAGGTTGTAGGAACTGCGTCATTAAAAATGAATTTAATCCACTGGTCCCTGACAGTTTGGTCCGTTCTTAATCTGTGATCATTGTCTGCAGGTAATACACTGACTAGACGCAAGAACCTCATCCTCACTTTGAAAATACTGTAGTATCTCTTTTTGAGTCCCAGAATGAAATGTTTAATTATTATATATTATTGTAGGAAGAGGAGTGTTTGCCACACAACCCATTGAACCCGGGGACTTCGTGTTGGAGTACAGGGGTAAACTCCTCACACAGGAGGAAAGCAAGTCAAGAAAATACTCAGAGATTGAAAGCACATTTCTCTTTGACTTTCAGTGGCAGAATCATCACTTATGGTAAACATTGAAAGATGGATGTTTTTTTATTGATTTATAGAAATTACGAGTTAACTCTGAAACAAGGGTTTAATACTTGATGAATGAATTAAGCACAAATACTCTTAAATTCTTTTGAAAATAACTCTTTCAATAAAACTTTTAAAAAGATGTAAAACTGTTACCATTTTTCTGATACTTTTCAGCCTGGATGCATCGCAAGACGATTTTTCTCTTGGACGTTTGGTCAACGACAACCACCAAAATCCGAATTGCGTTATGAAAAAAATCATAGTTGACAACAAACCACATTTGTGCCTATTTTCTCTGAAGAAAATAGAAATAGGAGATGAAATTGATTACAACTATGGTGATTCAAAATGGCCTTGGCGCAGTACGGTGAGTTGGTTAGATTAAGTTTAGAGTTTTCTTTTTTTTTTTGCAAAAGCAAATTTTGTATTTCTCCAATATTAACCATGTGTCCAATATTACTCTTGACTGTCTATGGAAATGCATTTAATATTTAGTCTTTGATGTGTTTTTAAAATGAGTTCTTCTTTATCTGCAATCCAGTTGAAAAAAACCCAAGCTCCTGCTGCCGCAGTAGAGAATGAGACCAGCCCTGTTCCTCAGATGCTAAATGATGGACCAAACCCAGATCAGACCTGCTCAGAGGTAAAAGTACTTTCAAACACTTCATCTATGCTGACATGTATGTGGCGTTCTATTACTAAAGTGGACCAATGCTTATGTGGCTTTATATTGGCTGTTAAAGGCCAGGTAATGTCACACACACCGTCATGTTTCCAGTCATGTCCTTATGGGTCCTTCCTTCCATCATACACTTGTTTCTCTAGTCTCTCCTTTACACACTCACATGTCTTTAGTCAGACCCTTGTGGGGCCCTTCCGTCCAGTTCTTACTGTAAGTGTTTCTAATGCACTATAGCAACACCTGACAAGACCTCAACTATGATTTTAACATTCATAATTGTATACTGTATCTGAGCTGTTAGATGTTTTAAGGAAATATTTTCATTTGATCCACTCTAAACTCCTTGAATAGACGTGAGCTGCTTTTTAGTCCACAAAGTTCAGTGCTGTTTCACCATTAGATGACTGTATTAGCCTGTGAATGTCTCTTCATACAGTTCTGATTCTCTTCATGTCTGTCTATTTCAGGTGAAAGGCCTTCAGACTCCTGCTGCCGCAGTAGAGAATGAGACCAGCCCTGTTCCTCAGATGCTAAATGATGGACCAAACCCAGATCAGACCTGCTCAGAGGTAAAAGTACTTTCAAACACTTCATCTATACTGACATGTATGTGGTTGTGTTCTATTACTAAAGTGGACCAATGCTTATGTGGCTTTATATTGGCTGTTAAAGGCCAGGTAATGTCACACACACCGTCATGTTTCCAGTCATGTCCTTATGGGGTCCTTCCTTCCATCTTCCAAATACACTTGTTTCTCTAGTCTCTCCTTTACACACTCGTATGTCTTTAGTCAGACCCTTGTGGGGCCCTTCCGTCCAGTTCTTACTGTAAGTGCTTTTAATGCACTATAGCAACACCTGACAAGACCTCAACTATGATTTTAACATTCATAATTGCATACTGTATCTGAGCTGTTAGATGTTTTACGGAAATATTTTCATTTCATCCCCTGCAAACTCCTTGAATAGACGTGAGCTGCTTTTTAGTCCACAAAGTTCAGTGCTGTTTCACCATTAGATGACTGTATTAGCCTGTGAATGTCTCTTCATACAGTTCTGAGTCTCTTCATGTCTGTCTATTTCAGGTGAAAGGCCTTCAGACTCCTGCTGCCGCAGTAGAGAATGAGACCAGCCCTGTTCCTCAGATGCTAAATGATGGACCAAACCCAGATCAGACCTGCTCAGAGGTAAAAGTACTTTCAAACACTTCATCTATGCTGACATGTATGTGGCGTTCTATTACTAAAGTGGACCAATGCTTATGTGGCTTTATATTGGCTGTTAAAGGCCAGGTAATGTCACACACACCGTCATGTTTCCAGTCATGTCCTTATGGGGTCCTTCCTTCCATCATACACTTGTTTCTCTAGTCTCTCCTTTACACACTCACATGTCTGTAGTCAGACCCTTGTGGGGCCCTTCCGTCCAGTTCTTACTGTAAGTGCTTTTAATGCACTATAGCAACACCTGACAAGACCTCAACTATGATTTTAACATTCATAATTGTATACTGTATCTGAGCTGTTAGATGTTTTAAGGAAATATTTTCATTTGATCCACTCTAAACTCCTGGAATAGACGTGAGCTGCTTTTTAGTCCACAAAGTTCAGTGCTGTTTCACCATTAGATGACTGTATTAGCCTGTGAATGTCTCTTCATACAGTTCTGATCCTCTTCATGTCTGTCTATTTCAGGTGAAAGGCCTTCAGACTCCTGCTGCCGCAGTAGAGAATGAGACCAGCCCTGTTCCTCAGATGCTAAATGATGGACCAAACCCAGATCAGACCTGCTCAGAGGTAAAAGTACTTTCAAACACTTCATCTATGCTGACATGTATGTGGCGTTCTATTACTAAAGTGGACCAATGCTTATGTGGCTTTATATTGGCTGTTAAAGGCCAGGTAACGTCACACACACCGTCATGTTTCCAGTCATGTCCTTATGGGGTCCTTCCTTCCATCTTCCAAATACACTTGTTTCTCTAGTCTCTCCTTTACACATTTGTATGTCTTTAGTCAGACCCTTGTGGGGCCCTTCCGTCCAGTTCTTACTGTAAGTGCTTTTAATGCACTATAGCAACACCTGACAAGACCTCAACTATGATTTTAAACATTCATAATTGTATCTGTATCTGAGCTGTTAGATGTTTTAAGGAAATATTTTCATTTGATCCACTCTAAACTCCTGGAATAGACGTGAGCTGCTTTTTAGTCCACAAAGTTCAGTGCTGTTTCACCATTAGATGACCGTATTAACCTGTGAATGTCTCTTCATACAGTTCTGATTCTCTTCATGTCTTTCTATTTCAGGTGAAAGGCCTTCAGACTCCTGCTGCCGCAGTAAAGAATGAGACCAGCCCTGTTCCTCAGATGCTAAATGATGGACCAAACCCGATCAGACCTGCTCAGAGGTAAAGTACTTTCAAACACTTCATCTATGCTGACATGTATGTTGGCGTTCTATTACTAAAGTGGACCAATGCTTATGTTGCTTTATATTGGCTGTTAAA